ACAAAATTTAAATGGGGTAACAGGAAAAAAAACTCCAGAGTTTTATGAAAATTGTTGAAAAGTACCACTCGGTCGATGACAATGATATACGAAAATAGCGAATTGCTTGTGCGTTCCAGTCGTTTTGGTTTCAATTGTGCTGCCATGCAAATAATATTTTTTTGAAAATTCATGCACCTTATCATACCCATTCGATTCCACACAAAACGGAGACAATCAAGTGAACGCACATTCACCCCAAAATACGTACGGCAGTGGTGATGGTGGTGGAGACGCGGACGACGACGACGACGTCGACAAATCAACCATCCCTCGTGCCACTGCTCGCACAAATGCAAAAATCTACGCACTCAGTTAATATGTGACGATGCGATATGAAACATTTGTTTCAACAATTCTATGTGATATTAAAATATAGAGAAAAAAATACACACACATAAAACAACATCGAAACCAAATGCTTTGTGTGTTGTATGTGTTTTTTTTTCTCTCTCTCTCTCTGTGTGTGTGTGTTCTTGCGTCACATACATATAAAAATATGTGAATCGAAAAGGCACATGACCCTTTTCGATTTTGTTGATGAAAATATAATTTGTATTTATACGACTAACAGTGGCAATAGAAAAATGACTGGGAAAACGCGCGGAGGAGACGAAATAAATGCAATTCCAACTTGCCAGTCCACACATTTGAATAGGTTCCATAAAAGCGGTAAAAAAATATAAATATAAAAAAATTTAATAATGTATGTTGAAATACATATAAAATGAATGCAATAATAAATATGGCTTTGGTCGGTATAATGCAATCAAATTTCTAGAAAGAACAGTACGAGCAAACAAAAAAAATTATATTACATGTACAACCATAGCACCAACCACAACAGAAATATACGAAAGAAAATAAAATCGTTGGAGAATTACAACATACAGCTTATTTTACCAAACGACAAGCTCTCTCCAAGGGTTTTGTTTTTCTATCCTATAGCAAACATAGTGAAGTGCACACTCACGTTGCAGCGCAGAGTGAACGAACAGTGAAAAAAAAATTGCGGTGATAAAAATCTATTCTCTTTGGCTTCTCGTTTCACCATAGAGTTAGTCAAACGAAAACCCAAATCAGCACTTCACACCCAGCAAGAACGTTCCGGCAAACTAATCCGAAGACACATTTGACTTACGATTCAATCGACGATACGCGAAACTTCATTCAATACTCACCATTGAAGCTGTATCAACGCCATAAATAGCTTTAGTTCCGTGTGGCCGCCACACTTTAGTCATCACACAAAATTACGGCCACTTGAGATGTACACATAAAGTAAACTAAAATCAGATAGAAAAAAAAAATTGTGCTCCTTCCAAAACGGAAGCATTGAATGGGAAAAAAATTTTATTGCACAAAATGAAGAAGAATTAAACTGCAACATTTTTATATTGCTATATTTGTTTATTTTTTTTGTTTTCAATTTGTTTCAGCTTGTTTTTGTTGTTGTTATTACTGTGGTTTCCTTTACGGCTGCTTTCAATGCTACATATATTGTTGAAACTGAACTGATGTTATAAGTGTACATATATATTCCTATTCACTGTAAAATAATTTATTCTTATCGATAATCTAATTTATAACCATGCACGCATGTGTTCTTTTTTTTCCTCTGTTTAAACTTCATTCTTTCTCCTCATTCACCTTTCCTATAACGACGTTTTCTGTTTATCGCATTTTGGGTATGTGTGTGTTGTTGTTGTTGATTTTGCAACTGCATTTTTGTTCGCATTTTTTTTTCTTGCTTTCTTGGTTAATTCTTTAACTTCATCATTAATTTTCATTCTATTGGTTTTGATGTGTATCAAATGAATTTCTTTTCATTTGTTCCTCTTCTTATTTATTATTATTCCGCATTGCACTGTTGTTGTTACAACGTTTAAACGTTAAATTTGGCCGATTTCTCGCCACCACAAAGTGAAACAATTTACTTTGGCTCTGTGAACGGTAATTATTTTAAAAATTTTATTCGCTTCGGCAAAAATCGATTTGGACATTTGGCCAACCCGCACATTTTATTGTTATACACGTGAAGGTATGTATGTGTGTGTGTGTGTTTGGTATTTCTCGATAATTTTTATTTGGATATTTTCCATTGAGTATAGAAAAAAACGGCATTCAAAAGAATCAATGAATTCATTGAAACGTTGGAAATGAACGAAAACCAATCATTAATGCTGCTGGATAGCACCATCGAAACAAATTCTTATTGGGTTTTATATGAATGCTTGAGCGCAAACAAGCAACTTAGATTCTCAGTATTTTAAAGTGTAACATACAAGTAATGAGTATACAAACGTATACGTGTTTTGTATGGAGATGTAACACTTTAAAATACTGCGAATCTAAGTTGCTCTTTTGCGCTCACACATTCATATGTCTGTATGTGTTTTTGTGTGTCTGTCACCATTAATGGATCAATTGTTTAGAGAAAAAAAACCGTTGTCCCGCCAGACATAGATTACGACTTACAGTCTAAAAATTCTAAATATGTAAGCTTAACTCTCGTATGTGTTTATTTGAATACTATACATGGTTTGTTTTTCTTTTTCTTGTTTTTTTTTTGTTTAATTTTAAATTGAAGGCCTTTTATACTTTCACATATGATTTTATATTCTCTCTGAACATTCTACTTCCGTGTCTTCATTTCAATTTATAACTAATATAAATTTTTTATTTTGGAGACTCCAAAGATCAACGAAAAATTCTTTCTTTCTTTCTTTCTTTCTTTTTTGTTGTTGTTTCGAAATGTCAAACTAAATAAGTCGCGTCACGAAGAACACACTTGTAAACAGAAGAGAAAACAAAAACGGAATCAGTCCCAAAAATTCAAAAGTAATTTCATTCGTGTTTTTTGTTTTTTTGTTATTTTCTCCGAAGATACTGTCTCCGATGTGTTTTAAGGCCCTCCCTTTCAATTTTATATTTGATGAATGTTTATATCTATATATATATTTCACATGAAAATGAGAGAAAGAAAATGCATGATTGTTTTTGTTGCATCAAAAATGGATTCATTTCCGCTGAAAATAGTTGCGATTCTAGGTCAATGTAGAATATTTTATCTTCGTTTCACTTCTATCTTCGGCTGAGTCTGTCGAACAATGTTCATTTTCTGTGTTTGTGTGTGACTGTCTCTAACGGTTGTGTGTTTGCAATTTTGCACTATTTCATCTATATATGAATGTTGCACCATTGGATAATAATAATTCATGATCATTTTACGATAGAATAGAATAATAAAAGTGTTGTAGTCAATGGAGAGGAATATCATATAATGTATGTATAACGTCGTCCTTGTTCTCAATCTATTTCCCTTCATATCGTTTATGTGTGTGTGTGTGTGTGTATTTATTTTGTCTGTCAGTTTCTGTACGATAAATTCAGTTGCTTACAACTGTAACTGTGGCACTTCTCGAAAAAAAAAAATTACGACTTGCATGTGTTTGTGTATATAATCCTGTGTCTTAGTACATCTCAACAACTATTTATGGCCTTTGTGAGTTTCCATGTAACCTTTCTCTCTCTTGTTTTTATTTGGTTTCTCATTTCACTCTTTTTCCATCCATTTTTTTTTCTCTCTCCATCGAATATGTTACAATTCCAACATATAACTCGATGAAAGAAAAGAGTCCACTTGTTTTTTTATTCTTCTTCGATAAAATCAATCATAATTACAAAAGCATGTTTTACCAAGCCAAAAAAAGGAAAGAAAAGAAAAAAAGGAGGACCAATGAAATACGATTTGAACGAACGTTCTAGTTAAAAATAGTGTTGGCTTCGAACGTTCGTTCGACCGTTCGACAACATAAAAAAAAATTGTTTTGTTCGTTCGTTCGTTCGAAAGTTTTGTAAAAACTTATTTTGTTCGTTCGTTCGTTCGAAAAGTTGAAAATTATTTTTTTTGCTCGTTCGTTCGTTCGAAATTTATTTAAAAAAAATGTTGTTCGTTCGTTCGTTCGGAAATTGCTATGTTCGACCGTTGGGATTTTTTACATTTGAAATACATAGGAAGCAAATATTTCTTTGGCTAAGACTGAAGGTACAACGTTATTACCGGTGTTATTACTCAGTAATACCACTGGTAATAATTATTAACGATCTTATTACCGATTAATAAGTAATTACCGTTAAGTACTTAATTAAACTTTGTACTTAAGCTTGAGTATGTACTTAACGTACTTAACGTACGTACTTAACGTACTTAACGTACTTAACGTACTTAACGTACTCAACGTACTTAACGTACTTAACGTACTCAACGTGCTTAACGCACTTAACGTACTTAAAGTACTTAACGTACTTAAAGTACATACTCAAGCTTAAGTAGAAAGTTTAATTAAGTACTTAACGGTAATTACTTATTAATCGGTAATAAGATCGATACTAATTATTACCAGTGGTATTACTGAGTAATAACACCGGTAATAACGTTGTACCTTCAGTCTTAGCCAAAGAAATATTTGCTTCCTATGTATTTCAAATTTAAAAAATCCCAACGGTCGAACATAGCAATTTCCGAACGAACGAACGAACAACATTTTTTTAAAATAAATTTCGAACGAACGAACGAGCAAAAAAAATAATTTTCAACTTTTCGAACGAACGAACGAACAAAATAAGTTTTTACAAAACTTTCGAACGAACGAACGAACAAAACAATTTTTTTTAATGTTGTCGAACGGTCGAACAAGTGTTCGAAAGTGTTCGACGGCCAACACTAGTTAAAAACTACGCTTGGTCTTAATCAGAAGAATTTCAAACAAAAAGAAAATGATTTAAACGCAAATGAATATTTCAATAAAATACAACAATAAGCTACCTGAGAGACATGTGCTTAAAAATGTTTGTGTTTTTTCTCATTTTTTTCTTATAAATTTTTTTTCTCTTTCATAATTTATTTTTTTTTTTTTCATAAAATTTTCTTTACTCTTCCTTTTATGCTAAACTCTTAATTTCATTTAAAAAAATTTCTTCACTTTATTTAAATATTCATTTTTTTTTGCCTAAAATTGTTCTAAACAGTTAGATTTGTTTTTTTTTGTGTTTTTCTTCATTTCTCTGAATAAACAACTCTCAACAAACGAAGAGTAAACTTAAGAATTTATTTAAAACAGAAAACTTACGCAACCAAATTCAGGAATTGTAAATTGAAAATCAAGTGTCCAAATTTGAAATAAAGAAAAATAAAAATCGCATTTAACGTGGTTACAACACACATTGGCTTGTCCACTTTCATTTAATGTTTTCAGAGGAGGAAGGGGGAGGTTTGGCACAATTGTGTGTGCACAATTCAAACGATCGTAAAAATACCGTTAAGCTTCAAATGTGGGTGGAATATGCAGCATTTTGGATTAACTACTGCATCGTGATGATGTCGATCGACTGCCACTTGCGTTCACTAATGATGTCCAATTCAAATTGTTTCTACTAATATTGATGGGTGATAATGCGTCTGATTCGAGTTCGTTTAGTTGAAGACCGAGTCCGCCATTACTGGAGGTGCCGGCCGAAAAATCGAGCTGTGCATTTGGAAATGGGAAAATCGGCTATCAAATGGAAAGAAAAAGAATAGAAATTGATTTTAGACCCAAGTTGATCCCGAAATTGCAATTTTAAAACAATAAAAAAAAATGGTTTCAAAGATCAAAATGTTGACGTGAGTATGCGGTTGTACATGTACTTACCGTGTTAGCATCAAATTCTGGTAACGGAATGGTGGTTTCTTCGCGAATCTCCTTATCGTCGCGAAACACAACTGTTTTGACCACACCTTTGATGTGATCTTCGGGCCAAACACCCAACAGTATTCGTTGTGGCCTTCCGCGTCCTTTGGGCCGTAGATCAGAGCCACCGTCTATTGATGGACCGAGCATGTTGTGCACACGATTCGCATACAGCACAAATGTCGGATACGGAATGTCATACTTTCGTGCCGCTTGTGACAATGACAAACCATCCTTAAGAACGCTCATTATAGCTTCAGCCATTGTCTCTGGACGCCATGATTTCAACGGGCCACGCTCACGAAAACGCAAATGATGGATGAGATTTTGATTCGTACTCCAGCATTTTTGCCACATCGACTGCAACTGATACTGATAACTCTCTGCAAAGAAGAACAGAAAAAAAGTGATAACAATTGAAATCAAGTCCAATCAGAACATCAAACGAAATTGTTTTTCTTCGAACAAAAAAAAATGATTCTATAAAACTAATAAAAACGTAATTAGTCTACACACAGTTTAACAAAAGTTGTTATTTAGACAAAATTCAGTTGATTATTTAATTTCATTTTGACTGTGATGTGGGCAGTAACGATATGAGTCAAAAGTTTGTTATTTCTCCCCCCTCCCCCGTCATTCACCTCGATGTAATCAATTTATAAGTACATACATATATACATATCAGAAGATGGGGAAAAATTACGTGTTGTTGTACATGTTGAAGCGTAGGTAATGCATACGGTTAGTGCAAAAGCATTTATTGCCCTACCTGACGCGAGCACCATCTGTTCAGTTTGAACATGAAAACAAACAAATTGATCCATACAGAGTTATAATACAACAGCATCTCTATATAGAGGAAACGCTGTGGTTCGTTTTGTTCGACATATTTTTTATACACTGCCTTCATTTCCACCGATTCATACATCGGTTGGCAGCTGGAGTCACTTTGTTTGTTTTCATGTTCGCACCGAATAGATGGCGTTTGCGTTAGGGAGAGCAATAAATGCTTTTGCACTAAAGGCATGAGGTAATGTTATTCCGTTTATGTGTTCGAAGAGAGTTTGTGAAAATGTTGCGAAACACGACAGCAAGCATGAACGGAAAAACTGGCCTCCTTATTAAAAATTTAATCGACTAAACATCAATTATGGATGAATAAACGAGGAATTTTTGAAAGAGAGAGTGAGAGAGAGAGAGAAAGAGCGAGCGAAACAAAGGGATATTGCAACTTTTTTGACCAGAAAAAACGCCATCTTACGTCGTGCCCGTAAATTATTTTACTGTACATTTCGATGGTAGAGCTTGAACAAAAGTTCAACACTATGAATAAACTTGGAAAGAGCTTGATAAACTTGATGAAATACATATATTTTATGGTAGTTGCAATACCCCTATGGAGCGAAAGAGAGACATACATACATATTTATGTATATCGAACGGTTAAACTTTATAAAATATATTTGGAATTAGAAAAAAAAGAAACACGTGCATATACACATACACAGTACATACTTATGTAACACAGAAAATTTCAACTTAACGAAAAAGCATTAAACCAGAGACCATAAACTTTATTATGAAAAACCGACACGAAAATCGAGAACAGTTGAATATTCTATATGCATTATGAATACGATGTGGTTTTTTTTCATATTCTCAGTTTGCTTCGTGCGTTGTTTTTTCATTGTCAATTTTATACCGATATTAATAACAATTTAATAAAAAAAAATCCGTTCGGTTCGGTTTAATCGTCAGCCTTTTTTTCGAGCTCGTGGGCATAGTTGAGTATTCGTGTGGAAAGCGATGAATTTGAAGAGAGCGAGTGTGAGTGAGTGGCTGTGAGTGAGTGTGAGAGAACAATGGTTTAGTGACTAATGAATATCATTAAAATAAACTATTTATGAATTTTTATCGAAAACCAACCAAGCGAACGCTCAAATCAAACGAATGACAAAGACACGTATACGATATTATTAAATTTTAAATATTTAATGTAAGCTAACTTTTTACGAGACATTGTCAAACGATAAAGTTGTTTTTTGGGTCATTTGGTCGTTGCATTGTGTTTCAAAGTGCATGTACAGTGCAGTGCAGTGTGTGCACAACGTGCATATTCAATTGGGAGTGTTTGCGCTTATTGCTTTGATATTGTGATATTGACAGCTCACATAAAGGTGAGGCTATATAAATGGTATGCCACTACATGTGTCTTCAAAGCTTTGATCGTTATTATTTTTCCTTCTGATTTTGTTAATTCATTCGACAGCCTTTCATTGAATCGCTTCGAAGCATGAAAATACTAAATCAGGCACATATTTTCTGAATCCAATTTTTCGGTATCGGTTTGGCATTTTGATTGCAGATTTCTGGCAAAACCAATTAAATTCCATGCAATTGACAGTTCGAATTTTCACATGTGCCCTCTGGTTCTTCTCCACACCCCCACCCCCCACTTCAAACTCTCATCCTTCCGCTCTCTCGCTTTCTCTTCATAATTTCTTCATTCATCATTCATTTTAGTTGAGCGAGTAAAAGTTTTATTTAATTTACTATTTCTGACTAGATCAAATTGAAATGGTTGTCAGCTCCATTTAATTTTCATCGTTTTATTGTCTTTATTGAAATAATAATAACAATTATTATCATTGTTGTGTATGGAATAGATCGAAAAATAGACACACATACGTTTGCCGCTGTGCTTGTGCTTTTTCGATGGACTTTAATGACCGTCGCTCGATTTGGCGTTAATGCACCATTGCATGTGTCAAATGTATCGTGGGTAATTTTCGCTGTTCTCGTCGTCGTAGTCGTCGTCGACGACGACGTCGTCATTCCCTATCTCCGGTATGAAATGTTCATTTCATTTTATTTTAAATAATTAATTACAACAGAACGAAGTCATAAAAACCTAACTGACGAAAACTTGAAAGAAAATGCGCTAACACTGAGCAATTATAATTATAACGCTCTCTCTCTCACACTCTCTCTCTCTCTGTCTCTCTCTCTCTCGCATTCACAAAAATAAACATAAAAATAGAAAATGATTAAATAAATACCAAAACAATGGCAAAATAAAGTGACTAAAATGCAACGGGAAAATGGAATATGATGGAGAGAGAGAAATTTAAATGAATAAAATATAAATAATAACTAATATTCCACACACTATCGTCACGTATGCTACGCTGAATACAATCCACCCGACCATTTGTTCTCTTTTGTCTGTCTCGGTGTGTCAAGCATATTAGCTAGTCGGAAACGTTGTGCGGCCACAAAGTGTGGGCGCACACTTTTTCTATCCCAAATGCATTTATCAACACTAATTACTAACTACAATAATGGCCGGTCGATAATTTTAAATACTCATTCGATTATTATTATTATTATAATTACAACCGCGCTCCAAATAAAATGAAATACTTCTATTTCTCACAGCGTGTCAGTCACAAATTGAAAATTTCGTGTGAAATGCAAGGGGAAGGAGGCGGTCAATCAACCGAAAAGAAATTAAAACAAATGACTATCTTTGGATTGAAAGCATTCCATTCCTTTGTTGTTCGTCTTTCGAAAATGCACGCACAAACATTTGACAATAATACAAAGCGAATGGTGTGAAATGCTTTATGTGTTCACTGCATCCTCGACACATCATTAATGCCATTAAACCATTACCAAATTGGTTTAGTTTAATTTAATTTCTCCTCAAATTGACCTCGCTACAGTGGCCAAGTATCCAACGAAAACAAAGAAACCAAATTGAATATCATACACAAAATATGACTATAATGTGAAACACGCACTAGCAGCGCAGTCAATTTCAGATCGATCAAGCAACAACAATGTATATGACAAATAGACGTATTCCACATTGCACGAGAAGATCTCTCGTGCTGCGCTTCTGTCATTTTACTGCTTAAACGCTTTTATGATTATTAATTAAGCTAAAATAATATAATATATATGTCGGTGGTGGCCATGACAGAATGCCATCGAAATGTTCAAGTCAACAGACAGAAGTGCAAAGGAGGAGAGAAAAAAAATGTAAGCGATAAAGTTTTTGGAATAAAACCGCAACTAAACGGATGAATAGATTTAATGCATCAGAATATTTCATTACACGAAGACTCACAATTTATCAATTTGTCTATTTTTGGTGAGAAACAGTGAATACACGCACGAAAACGGGCCACTATCGAGCGAGGAAGAGAGAGTGAGAGAAAGAGAGATAGAATGAGGGACAATAATAATGCATCATTTCTTGTCAGTGCTCCATAGAAGTAGACTGACAGACAGCATGTCGTTTCAAGCTCGGCTCGAATAAAATAATCAAACACAAGTATTTCGTTGCGACAAAAACGCGAGCGCGAGATAGAGAGCATTTATAAATAGTTGAGGTGAGCAGCAAGAGCAGCACCATAAAATTGAATTAAATCGCATAGTGAAGCATAAATGCATTTGCCTATTCAGCCTATTCGATTCCATTGAAAGCGATATGATGTAGAGGCAACCACAAACGACACACGTTTTCACTAAATTATTATCAAAACTTCATCATAAGCAGTTGTAATTTGCAACCTTTCGTCGTGAAGTGAAATATATTTCGACAGTTTTAAACATAAATAAATGTCCATTAATCTCTCAATTATAAATTATAAGTTTGATTGTAGTGCCGAATAGTAGACGTAGAGAGAAAGAGAGTGATAGAGAGAGAGTGTGTGTGTGTAGCGTTGAAAATTGTAAAATGAATTATGAACGGAATGCATGAAACATCAGTAAGTAGAAAGAAGACGAGAGAGAAAAAAAAAGAGCGCCAGACTTGGCTAATGTCTAAATTCATGCTGAGAGATACGTGCACGCATGACACATCTCGCCGAGAGACATAGACCGAGAGAAAGAGATTGAGTTAAATACAAACACCGAGACACAATTGCATTCGGAATCAATTCAGTGGGAACGCGCTTGGCAAGGACTTTTTCTACTTGCTCGTTGTCATTCCCATTCCCATTCCGGTAATGACAGACGAAAGAATTGGTGTTCTGAACGTTGAAATGGCGCAAGCAGCAAGGAATAAAACGACAAGCGAACGAGAAGAAAGAAATATAAAGACGACAAATTATATGTATATGTATATGCTTTAATTTTAATTAATACCAACAATCAGCTTCAGCAGTCACTACACTATTTTCGTCTCTAATTAGTCATTTGCTGAGTGAAAAGCATAAGTGTGAGCGATCACGAGAGCGAAAAAGAGAGTCAAACATGCATTGGGCGATAAAAATGCACGAAGAAACAGCCCGATTACAATGCAAAAGTGCGAGTTCACACTTATTTGGTGTAGCCACACAGTTGATACGTACATTATACAGAAAAACATCGACGCATGGCCTGGTAGTGAGGCCAACAACTGAATGAATGAATTGAGCCTCGAACCAAACGTAAACGAACAAGAAAGATGAAAAACAGTAGCCGTAAAACGATGACGGAGGAATTAGTTGCTTTCTCTTCTTTTGCCGTTGTCGGAAACGTGGCGCGGTCGCATTCCGTTCGGTTCGGAACATCCAGATGCATCAAGTGGAAGAAAAATCAACACAACTACTTTAATTTACACTACAGCAAATGTGTTGCTGTCGCATCGGCAAAACTTATTCACCGTGCTGTTGAAAAATTTATTACCTGTTTGACCCATTACGTGATTGTGTACACGTTGTGCACACGGCACAAAAAGCCGCTCTGTCGTCAAATATTATTAAATATACACACGGTGTACAAATTTAATTCAATAATTTGCTGCATCTTTTTTTCCCTCCATCGAATGAGTTATGAATTACATCAAGTGTGTGTAAGTGTGTGCGGGCGCACAATTTGCTCACCATGTGTGTGTGTGTGTGTGAGTGCACACACATCACATCGTACGAATAATATAAATGCCAACACCGATGACGAATTGCAATGGATTATTTGTCGAGCAATTTTATCAGATGGACAAGTTGTTATTGTTGTTCACCTTTTTTTTCTGTCGCGCTACTTTGGCGCTTTTTTCCATTTGGAAAAAACTAAATCTGCAATCAATGCATATACTACCCATGAGCCACTCGATTCTGATTTATGAACTTAGTTTTAATCGAATCGAATATCTTCTTTTTTTTCTACTCGAATCAAAAACTTGGGCTTCCGATGAAAAGTTGATTGATTGGCAAATGCGAAAGTGTATGCATATTGTGTAGCAAGAAAGAAAATTGGTGGCACACACAGATTATGGATAATTTTCGAATGCAATTCAACGAAAATTAAAGAGTCAATTGATACAATGAAAACAATTGAAAAAAAAAAACATAAAAGAAAATCATGGATTTAAATGCGTATGTTCCCGGAATTAATCGAATCGGCCTTTATTTACGGTAATCAAATACCAAACAGCAAATTTAGCTGCCGAAATAAGTATACAATATTCATTTCGAGGAATGAATCGAAAGAAGAGTGAAAAAAATATATATCAGAAACGATTCAAAACGCTACTGATACGATTCAATTCATTCTCTTTATTATTATTTTTTTTTCGTTTTTCGTAAATTGTACAAAAGAAGTGTGCGTCGAATTGAATATGCACAATCGAATTGTTTTGCCGGAGAGAGAGAGAGAGAGAGAGAGGGGGGGGGGGGAGATCAGTTGAAATTAAAGAAATTGAACATGGCAACAGTGGCAGATTGGTGTTCACAAAATAATAACATGCAATTTATACCGCTTTACTCATACTAAATTCACGGGAAATATAATTTTAGCGCAATAGTATACTTTTCAAGTAAAATCCCGAACGCAAATAAACCGATAAATATTTTCGACAGCGTTTTAGTTCTCGCATTTTCTTCTTCTCTCACAGGCACACATACACGCATTCACTGAGTGTCTAGTGTGAGTCGAGAAGTTGGATTCATGACGCTCGGATGAATGGCAATTCATTTTGTTTTGGCTTGAAATGCAGAGTAACCGAGAAATCCTTGCACTCTAAATGGTATAATCAATGACTTTTGCTGTTGTTGTTTCTATGCGTAATGACTTAGCCGGTTGGTCGAATGGGCGAACGAGCAAAAAAGTGAACAATAATAATACAACAACACAGTCCAATTACATTTGCATTTGCAGCGCCATCATCTCACCGTCGCACCGTCAATTTTTCATTTTTCGATTATAGATCGCTGTTTCTGATACTTTTGATTCTTCAACAAACCAACTTATTTTCAACATGGAATCTTTAACGGCAACAAGGCAAGCGGCTTGTCTCTGGCTCACACGATGCCTCCAACTATTGCTAACTCGATTGCCGATTGCAATCATCATTTCTTCATGAAAATTTAATTGTATATATATAGAAACTATTGCCAATGATAAATGTGAATTAAATATATTAAATGTAATGGTAGCCCAAGGAACGAACGAACAAACAAATAAACGGGCAAACAAAACGAAGCGCGAGAGCACTACAAAATGGAACGTTTTGTTGAGATCATCCATACATGATAGTAAGTGGTGATGACGATGCGACTGCAGCATTCTGCTCCGAAGAAAAATTCGGAGCACATTTCGTTGTGTGTGATCTCGATGAATTGCGAATCGAATTGCTGGAATTTTCGCATATCGAATGTAATTTTATATTTTTTGCCGCGCACCAATTTCGATCCGACTTGAATTAAGGCACATTGTAAGAAATATTATTCAACAACACATTCAATTGCAAATTAAACAATGCGAAGCGAAACGGAAAAACGTTTTTAATAATGAATGAGCTTGTGAAGTGAGAGACGCGGGCATGCGTGCGCACTCACATCATCACCAACCGATGAAGATAAAAAAAAATAGAATCACGGTCCATTGGCATGGAAATCAAACAAAGTAACTAAACCAACCAATCAACCGACCGGCTAAATGCATTTAAATCCCATTTTCAATCGACTTCAAACGATCGCGCTCTCTTTCTATCGCTCATAGCATCCAATCTCTCTGTTTTTCTCTCACACACAGGCGCGCAAACCAAGCTCAGCTTGACTTAGATAAAGAGCTCTCACTCGATTATTCGGCGTGCATGTGTTGATTTTCGCAACGAAATCGATACTATTTCCAATTTATTTTTATTGTTGACCGTGTTTAATTAATTTTATCGTTTTCAATTCTTTGTGTTTTGCCATTTTATTGCGTTTCACTTGTTTTCTCGACTGAGCATGGAATGGGCTCTTCTATTTTCAAACGATTACTCATTCCAGTGTAACGACGACGACGACGACGGCGACTACGACGGCGATAATCGGTAAAACACATTCGAGAGAAAATTACAGGCGCTGAATATTATCATTACGACTCATTTTACTATGCGCGCCAAAAGGATCGCGTTTGCTTACCAATTTAAAGACGAATGAGCAATAGCAATAATAGTTGTAATTGAATGATTTGACTTGATTTTGCAAGCAGCAGCAACACAAACAGACACAGTGACGAAGTAAAAGCGAGAGCAACAGCGAGAGATCAATTGGGAAATGCAATGGGAGACTAATGAGTGTTTTGCGTAGGGTATACTTAGAAAACTGTTAAAAATTCAGCATTCCACATGATTTCTATATTTAATATTAAATTTTTTTTTTCCTTCAATAGTTGTGCATGGGAGACGAAAGGGGAAAGAAACCCTCGAATTTATAGGTGGAATTAAAGCAAACAGAAAAATATGAATAAAATTGCAATTGACAGAGAAAAGAGAGGCGATGCATGCATCCGTCATGAGTTCAAGAAATTGTATATGAAAGCAACGTCAGTAAGATGTGCAAATAAAATTCATAAATTAATTCTTTATTTTAATTGCGGATGTGATGAGAGCACTGCGTCGTGCAACATTGTTTCTCACTGCTTGCCTTCTCATTTATTTAGTTTTTCTTTCTCTATCAACTGAAGCGATTGCTCTTCCTCTTCCTCTCACTCTCTTTTGGTTGCTCGATGCAAAATTTTGTCGTGACAATCGTGCGTTGATTGCCCAAATGCATACGCATTCTTGTTTAGCAACGTCGTATACCTTGACTACGCGATGCGTTGCCGTTCACTGCATTCTTTGCATGGGATTTTGCGATTGACAATCGAACTCAAGCGCATGCTGCTTACGCTTGTTCATTTAGCACTACTGGTTCAGTGCGCTGACTTATTCTTTTTCCATCGTCGTCTCTTTTCTCTCTGTGACTGCAATCGCATTTGAATGCCTTTGGTTGGATTCGCGTGTGCTTAGGCCGCAGCAACACCGCGTCTGACTCAAGATAATTTGTGAAATAATATCTTATTAGTGCTTTTCGTCATTCTTTCATTATTATATGACGCTCTCGCTTGCCCTTACACCGCCACATTCGCTCTCTTTTCTCGTTTAATTGTTATTTTTGTTTGGCCGTAAATATTTATATTCTTATTTGGCATCTCTCGTTCATTCGTTCGCTCGTTCGCTCGCTTGCTTGTTATGCTCTTCATAATCGATCGCTGCAATGCCGTGCAATTAATGCAGATAGAGAAAAAAAATGTGTTGTATATATTTATTTATGTGAATATTTCATATATGCAAAATGTTTCTTTTTTTCCCTTCATTTCGGGTTTTTGTTTTAATGATGTTGCCGTACGGTGTTTCTCTTTTCTTTTCTTCACTTCTCTTGCACATAAACACAGTTGCTTACATCCTTGCATCTTTGGCTGTGTCTCTCTTACTTGTTCATTGGCTCGATTTGCATCGCCTCTTTACACTGCATCCAATTTCTTTATTGTGAAGCATCGTGCACTAGCCAGCCTCAATAATTTGCTGATTCGGTGTGTGTGCACAAATTAAGTGAATTGATGATTGTTTGGCTCATATGCAATCGGCGATCATACAACTCAATCATTTGCATCGATTAAGTCGAAATAAAATTGCACACATTTTGAATTTGTTTAGAGTAAACTGTGTTGTTTGTTAATTGAGCTTATGCAATTTCTAACTTGAGTTTATGTTTGGTTTCGTACAAATTTATTTTCTCCGTTTTTTTCCTTTTCTTCGTTCAGTTTTTTTTTTGCAAAACGGAAACAACGCGAATTATTTATTAACGAAACAGTTGCGACGAATGAATCATCGTGGTGATTCATGCTTTATCTGCATTTAAACCAAACATCGAAATGCATTCGAAATTTTGAAAAAAAGAATTCTCATCGATTCATGCGATTCTAGAGAATCCCTTTTCAATTTGTGAAAATTCGATAGATTATCACAATGAATGACTTAAACATAAGGTATACCTGACATACTGTTTAATGAACTGGATGGTGCTGCATTTAACCAGGCCTGTGAATTTTGTAACAGCTTCGCCTGAAACAGAGAGGAAGAGAAAAAAAAATTGAATGAAATTAGCGGAACAGTTAATTATTGATCTCAATGACATTTCTCTTATTAGCCTAGAATCCATTAATCTCAATAAGTCTCATTTTGAACATACACGCGCGAATGGGCGCGCGCGTGCGATTCGCATACACATTTCAATTGTCATTTGTGTGGCCAGACGTCACGAGTGAACGGTTTGAAGGAGATTGGTTGCGAATTGTGTGGCATATACGCAATTCTCAAATGTCAAATCTACATCAATCGGGTGACTTATTGTCAATTATCCCCGTTCGATGATTGATTTGGCCTAACACACTCACACAACACGGTGCAAATTTATTCAAACAATGAAAACCAAAAAAACAACAGCCAAAGTATCAAACCACAAATTCAACAATGGGAGCCGGAGAGAGAGAGAGAGAGAGAGAGACCGAGTGTGAGAGTGATAACACACTTAGCCAACTGTATCCACATTTTTTTGTTTGCTATCACCAAAGATCTATTGCTGTTGGTTATGTATTTAAACACTCTGGTTTGTTGTTTTTATTGCAATCACTCGCCTTTTTTATATATATAAATATATTTAAAATGGAAAGTTGTCGCCGGTTGGGAAAATAACTGCACACATTGCACACAATATAAATTGGGAAACGCATCACGTATTTGTATAGTATGCCAATTATCCGCCACAAAAAGCCCCCGCACACACATACCACACACAAAAAACACACTCATACTAGCACTCATAGTTCAATGGGTGCACTCGGTGTTTGACTTGATTTGCTCAATATTTGGCGCATTCGGAATATATTTATGTGAATCATTGAATTATTTAATTGAATTGGAAAAAAAAGTGAAAAGTTTGCCATAAATGATTGATGGAATGCACTGAATTGGCATGAAGTGCGATCCAATGCATGGGCAATGCGTCGACAATGCATGTAGATTGATGCTGCCATTTCGGTTTGGTGAAATGAATATTAGTGGAAAAAAAGTAGTTTGATTTTTAATATTTTTGTATGCAGTTCAAGTTGAGTCACGTTTTTTTTCACTCTCTTTCATGAGTTTGTGTGTTTGCCGAGTAATTAGGTGTTTTCTGCGAAGTTCTAACAAAAAAAAATATGGAGAATCAAAAAAGGGATGGGGCAGAAGGATAGAGAGAGAGAGAGAGAGAGAGAGAGCGAAGAAGAAGAAGATTTTAATCAATATGTTTACGTATTAATTATCGAAGGACTCGCGTCAATTCAAACAAATTTGGTCTTACAATTCTCCTTACCGTTGACTCGGATGGGATAAGCAGTGGTGTGTATCCTACAAAAACAGTCTTAGCCAATTGAACCCGACAACAATATACGTAAGGATACGCTACGCATACAATATTACGTATAATGTTCACTATACGTATGCGTGATAAATGTCCAATTTGGTATAATTATGGAAAAACGGTTTTGTAATTAGCTTTTCTCTTTGTAACAACAAATCGATTAATTGCCAATGCGAAAATGAAAAATTATGGACCTGATGCGGCGTTGAAAATTGTAAACAAAAAGCGCCGGAGAAATTACGATGGCATAAATATGATGTATCAACAAAATTGTATAAAGTGCATAACGTTCATTGTTCACAAACTTAACGGCAAACGGGAAAAATGTATTTCATTTTATTAAATTCGAGGCTCATTTTATCTTCATGGTAAATTGCACAAATTCAATGCTTTTTTTCCGCGTCGATTTGAAAAAAAAATAAATCGGAGGTGAGGAAGCCGTGATCAAATCAACACAAAACGAGTGAAAACAATCACGGAATAAAAACAAAGTATCAGCAACAGTATTTTGCGCCAATTCCGATTGGAATTGAACAGTAACAAGACAGGCAGAAAAAAACGGTAATTATTTACATGAATGTAAAATAAAGCGGTTGCCTAAAACTTTTATTAGCTTAGAAAAGTCGAAATAGCGTATTACTAATTGAATGTGTGCCTACGTCTGCAGCTAAAAAAAAAACGTTGCATTTATGATTTCCGATATGCGAACCATCGATTGATTTCTCAGAAGAATGGCACTTGGAGTAGAAAATGAACGAAGCAAACACCGTCAAGAGTGCAAGAGAGGCGAGAAACGATTGGCAAATTGTTCTTAGCGCGCCTGATGATGGTTGTTCGCCATCGCGTTACACACCGTGCAAGGTGATTATTTGCATTTAGTTATTGAAGTTTTTATGGCTTTTCTAGTTTTTTAATTGCTATAATTTAATTGCTCGATACATGCATATAGAATAAATGAATGCTAACACGAACAAGACTTTTCTACACATGTTCTCCTTCATCCGCGAGACTCGCGCGTAACTCTCTTCTTTGCCATTGCATTCACACACAATCGAGCGCTCACACACACACACAAATACGCTCTTTCCCTTTGAATTTTTATAACTTTAATTTTTCGTCATCATTCGAAATAAACATTAAACAATAACAAATTATGCGGACATTGTTCGCCGTTTGCACATTGTTCTTTTCTCTATCAACAAAATGGTTTACATTTTAATTGATGTAATCATTTGTTTTACAGCTTGTAGCTGATATATTAGAACCCATTATTGAAATACCATTATCAATTTGTCGAGATGAGTGTCCCTCCCCATTTCATGTATGAAATTCATGTATCGCATTTGTTCTTTTTTTCGTCGTCTTCTTCGGTTTTGAATCAAAAGAGAAAGAAATTCCGATCGAACAATCTCTATTATTATTTTTTGTGTGTGTGGGACCACACGATTGGCCTGAAATAAGATAATAAGCGATAAAATAATAAGTTTCTGAGCAATTATCGCGATCGCAAAGTCAATAATCTCAATAATATGTCGATTGCCTTGCTTTCGTTGAGCATAATTAGCATGACAGTTATCGCTCATTTTGAACCACCATTAACGACAATGACACATACGGCAAAAAACGTATGTGGAAATAATTTGTAGCATATCGGAACCTTTTGTAAACTCTTTTGCTTAATGTGAAACGTAGTGAAAAACGTTAAGCTATTTTATTTTCTGTTCCTTTTCAATAAATTTACCTAGGGGTTTCACGCAACTTAAAATTCATCTAAAATTTCAATATTTCTCTCTTTTCTCTCACATTCTCTGGGATTCACCAATATCCGTATAATTTTGAAATATTCCAACATTCACCTTGAAAATTATGTTCCGGTAGTGGGTTTTGGTGGATCCTCAGGATCGTTCAAAACTGCTCCCGGTTCTGGAAGTGGGTTTTGGTGGATCTTCAGGATGGATCAGACTGGGTTTGACAATGCCCTGGTCCATCCTGAGGATTCACTTCCAGAA